AACAATATTCTTTATTTTTATAATGCGTTTATTTTTCCAGGCTCATTTATTGTAGCTTTGCGGAGCCGTTACTTATTGTTGAAATCAAAAAATTACTCAAAACTAACGTTAGTAAAGCGGGGCCGATTACTCGCGGCTATCTCGAGGTTAGGAGTAACAAATTTCAACAAACGGATGGCAGGGTAGGGATTGAGAACACAAGGTTTGGATAGAAATGTGCTCTTGATCTCAAACTAAGCGGCATACTGATGAAAAAGGCAAACATGGGCAGCTAACAACTTGGGAGAACACAAGATGACACTAACTACTAAATTGACCCAATGATTGGACGTGATTGACTCAAATTGGACACCGGGACGCACGCCTGCCATATGTGTTATGGAAGCCCCTAATTCATCTATCACAGTCGAGTTATTCCTGCCAGCGACCTGCAGTCGTCCCTGTCATGTATTTGGATTTGAAGAAGGGGTCTTCCAAAACCCTATCTCAGGCAAGTACGACATTATTTCGAACAATCCACTTCCTGAAATGTATTATGCCTACAGCCGATCATTTCCGATAAAACCACAACCTGCTTTATTCAACTCGACACTCGGACGCACACTTGCAACTAGCCTTGTGGAAGCCCCTGATCCTATCATCGCAGTCGAGCCTATGCTGCCAGCGTTCAACAGTCGTCCCAGCCCTGCGTTTGAGTTAGGAGAGGGGGTCTTCCAAACTCCAACTGTAGGCAAGTACAATCAGCAAGCAACAACTGCTCTGTCTGAAAAATTATTGGTTTCCAGAGTGCCATTGTATATGTCTGCTCCTCGACAATTGTGGTCGGAAGATGACATTAATAGTATACCAGCCCCACCATACCAGAAGCCGAGACGCTCCACAGAAAATTTACCGGAAGAAGCATCCAGATCCTCTGATCTAGTCCTGCCGAAGATTGACGACTTACACCATTATGATGAATCAACTTCTGTTTGTTTACTGGGACGCACTGCCGTTGGCATCATGGAAGCCTCCGCCCCCCGCCACAGTCGAGCCATTCCCGCCAGCAACCTGCAGCCGTCCTGGCCCTGTGTGCGGGCTTGGTGAAGGGGTCTTCCAACCACTCGTTTACGGCAAGTATGAACTCGTTCATGTGAATTCAACTGTTGATCTGCCACTTGGTTTAAGTTCATCTTCGCTTATGGCCACCACTTCGAGCCTTTCTACACCAGGTGATCTTTCGTTGCCTGATATTTGGGTTAAGATCAGCCTCACTTCGCGGAACATCCTCATTGGAGCGGTGTATATTCCCCCTGAACGTCGACATGACTGCAGCACAATGCAGCTTGATCTGGATGCTACAGAATTTGCATCGTCCATGGCTGATATAACGGATGTGCTTTTTCTGCTTGGTGATTTTACTCAGCCTGGGCTTAGCTGGTCACCCTCAGGCCAGGGTTATGCGTTTCCAGATCCGATTACATCTTCAACTACTCCTGCCAGCCGCTTGCTTGTTGACGGCACGGCTTTTCATGGACTGAGCCAGATAAACCTTGTTCCCAATTTCCAGTCTCGTTTTCTTGACTTGGGTTTTGTTAGCGAAAGTGCACTTCTGGACTGTGTCGTCGCTGAAGCGCCTGATGTCATCGTTCCTCTTGACGATTTCCACCCTGTTTTGGATATATCTATCGCGAACGGATCTCAAATTCGTTTTGATGAAACCATGACTGCCACTCGGCTCAATTCCCGGAAGACCGATTTCCGTTTGCTGAGGCGTTCCTTGTCCCGGATCAACTGGAACGTGTTGAATGGCCTTGATATCGATACAGCAGCCGCTCGCTATAATAGCCTTTTGCGCGACTGTGTTTGTGCTTCAGTACCGAAGTGCCTACCTCCAAGTCAATTACCAGCAATGATTATCGCCACTACAACAAGCTTCTTTACAAGAGGTATGTAATTCGTACTCAACATAATCTGCAATGCCACCTCAAGGGATTCTGGTCGTTTGTGAATACGATGAGGAAGGAAACTGGGCTGCTGTCAAAAATGTTTTAGGCAACTGACGTAGCATTGACAACTGAGGACAAATGCAGCCTATTTGCTAGGCACTTCTTAAGCGTCTTCTCGAATGACTCCCCATCGCAAGCAGAAATTGAGCAAGCCGTCCGTGATGTGCCAACCGACGTCGTAAACATGGGTGTTTTTGTCGTAGATGTACAAATGGTTCTCTCTGTGATGAGTAAAAACAAATCATCATTTTCACCAGGTCCGAGTGTTATTCCATCTGCTGTCCTAAAAAAAAATGCTCCGATATCATAGCTGCTCCGTTGTCCTTGCTCTTCAACCTGTCACTTCGTGAACAGAAATTTCCCGCACTATGGAAACGCTCCCGCACCATGGAAACTAGGTTCCCTGTTTTCAAGAAAGGAGACAAACGCAATGTGGAAAACTACCGTGGGATTACCTCGCTTGGGGTTGAATCTAAGTTATTTGAGTCGCTAATAAATGAGAGATTTTTTGCTTCCTGCAAGCATTACATAAGTACATGTCAACATGGTTTCTTTCCTGGCCGCTCCGTGGAAACTAATCTCGTCAGCTTTACGTCGTTCTGTATGGAAAATGTATGCAAGAAACTTCAAGTGGATGCCATCTACACTGATCTTAAAGCTGCGTTTGATAGAATTGTGCACGACGTTCTGCTAGCAAAGCTTGAAAAAATTGGATGTTCTGTTTCCTTCTGCAGCTGGCTTAGATCGTACCTCGTACAACGTGAAGTTACTGTATGCATCGGAAACTACTCATCGTACTGTTTCTCGAACAGATCAGGAGATCAGATTCCACAGGGTAGCACTTTGGGGCCACTGCTCTTCTCTTTATTTGTGAACGATGTAACGTTTATTCTACTACGTGGAGGTAAATTGTTTTTTGCCGATGACTTGAAGATTTATCTAGTCGTTCGAGGCTATGCCGACTGTTTAGAACTACAAAACCTTCTTGAAATCTTTAATGATTGGTCTGAACGTAATTTTATGGTCCTGTGCGTCTCAAAGTGCTGCGTAATTAGTTTCCGTCGAACTAGGACTGCCATTTTGTTTAATTATAACGTTGCTGGGACTGCAGTTCAACGTGTCGATCACGTTAAAGACCTCGGTGTCATGTTGGATGAAAAGCTCACATACACTTCTCAACCACGATCGACAAAGCTAATCGTCAGCTTGGATTCATGTTCAAGATATCTAAGAAATTTCGTGATCCTCTGTGTTTTAAAGCCCTTTACTGTTCATTGGTACGCTCACTACTGGAATTCGCGTGTGTTGTCTGGAATCCCTACCAAGCAGTATGGAGTGGACGATTCGAAGCTGTTCAACGCAAATTCGTCAGATACGCATTGCGCTATCTTCCATGAAGTGACCCGCTGAATTTACCACCGTATGCTGACCGCTGTCGTTTATTGGGCTTGGATACTCTTGCTAAGCGACGAAAATATCGCAGGTCTTCTTCGTTGCTAAAGTTTTGCTCGCAGAATATGATTTCCTTAGTTACTGGCCAAAATTAATCTATATGCTCCTGCCCGAACACTCCGTCCGAGAACCTTGCTACATGAAGTAGTACATGCAACCAACTATGCTGCAAACAGTTCCTTTGTCGCCATGATTCATCAATCCAACGAAGCCTCTGACCTATTTGACTTTGACATCAATGCCTCCAGGTTTCGTCATCGTTTGCTGTCGGCCAATTTTTAATTTTTAACGAGTGACTACATTTAGATTTAAGTGTTTCATTGAGACTATCAAGTCAGATGGACTATAATAATAATAATAATAATAATAATAATAATAATAATAATAATAATAATAATAATAAAATAAAATATGAAGTTAAATCCTCAGATCAATCCGTTTTAAAAACACATAAATTAAATTCAAATAGTCGAGATCTCGGCTAGCCAAGACATCTCTAACGGGTATCGCAGGTGTTTTTCCTCGGGCCCTGAGGGATGTTGATAACTCGGATCTGGCAACACAGTGTAGGGTACATGACCAAAAAACATGCTCGATATCGTAATAACCACTGCCACACGCACTTAAATTGCTTCCTGAGAGCCCAGTTCGATAGAAGTGCGAGTCTAACGAACAGTGATTTGACATTAGCCTTGACATAACGCGTATAAAGTCGCGGCTCATGTCCAACCCTTTGAACCATGGTTTGTTTGACACCTGTGGGAGAAAAGAATGTAACCATCGTCCCTAATCACCATCATTCCATTTTTGTTGCCAACTGATGAGGACTTGCTGACGAGTAATGGAGAAAAATTCGTTGAAGGCAATTTGTCGCTCAAAAACATTTGTTTATTACCTTTTAATATTTTGTTTCCGCCTTTAAGGGTGCTAGATATACAATACAATAGATCTAACTACTAAGAGGCTGTTCGCAAACTACGTAGACAGTTTTTATTCTTGACCCCCCCCATCCCCTGCGTAGACAATTGTCCATACAATTTTTTTTAAATTGTATGGGCCGTGGATAATTGTCACCCCCCCCCCTAAACTGTCTACGTAGTTTATGAACAGCCCCTAAGTCTCCTACAATAGTAAAAAAGGACACTGATTGAATCTAATGCACAGTAATAAATCGGCGTGAAAAAATTCGCATTTTGGAGCACAGCTTTCATAAATAAAGCGTATTTTGATCGATATTTCTGCGCCCAGTTAGTTTCGATTTAAAAAAAACAATTCGGCTTTGGGAACTGACCTGTCATGGTCCTGATTGTGGTTATGAACTTTACTAAAAATATCAACTCCATATCCACAATTCACACAACCACACATTTAAAATAATACACATTTAAAAAAGATTTGTTCAATCCATCCCAAAGTAACTTCAAGCTTCTGAATCGCAAACCAAGATTACATATAAATCTCACTCATTATCAATTGCGCACACTAGTGAATGGAAAAAAAGTCAAAACAAGCTTCCTTCCACCTCTGATGATATGTTCTGAATCGTTAGTATGCTTGAGTCGCTGATAGAGGCAAACAGCAGTCATGGCGTTCACAACATTCCTTTTACTGTAAGTTATGTGTAGAAAATACGTTCAATCTACTTCATAATATTTTTTTATTTTTTTGGTTTTCGGGTTAGTAGTCTTTGATTGATTTGAACAAAACAAAATCGTTTGTTATAACACTTGATCCCTAGCCGAAAATCTAATAACCTTACTCATACGATAATTTCAGATCCCTTTTCCTTACAAATTTTCCACCTTCCGCTGTATCCCGAGCCGTACCCGATCACCGCCTTCGAAGCGAAGGAATGACTATTATCAGGCTAATAGACATCCCAGACGATTTCAACTTCCCCAACGCGACGGAACTGATCATTGAGGGTGTCACGGTAGGAGAATGGGATGTTTTTTCGATGTTTTCGCGGCTGAAAAACACAAAGTATCTTTCCCTAATCAATGGAACCATTCCGATCATCACATTCCGATCGAGCAAACTGCTATCTCTAACCGTGCTGCAAAGTGACCTGAGTTTATTCGAGGTTTGGCCCGAAAGGAATCCTACCCTGGCAACGCTACGGCTCACTAGAAATAGAATGGAGATATTTCCACCAAACATCAGGTTTCTAGTGGGGTTGACCTCATTGGATCTGTCACAAAATAAACTGCAACACGTTGATCTACGAGCACTAGAAAGTATGAAACAGCTGAAAAACCTAGACTTGTCGGTTAACAAAATCATCACGATCGATGCACCGGCAGCTTTGCGATTGAACAGATTGAAGAATCTTGCAGTGAGTTTCAATCTTTTGGAGCGCTTCGATGCATTCCCGGAGGCATTCCCGGTGCTGGATACAATCCGCTTGATGGGGAACAAATGGACCTGCGAGTGGGTTGACTTTGCTAGAAAGAGCATTATGGGAAGGAGAATTACTACCTTTGGAGTGGATTACGGCTGTAGCGAGTATCGCCAGGGAGGACTGTGCTGCTATGGGGATCTAAAGCCAGTAAGCACCACTGAAGCAACTTTGCTGAAGGAAGGACCACTATTGAAAGAGGTTCAAGGGTTGGTCAATGACATTGCTGAGAACCCGATGAAAACTTACGGCGGCCAGTCAGTGCTGGAACTGCTCACCCGCAATGTAGGAGGGCGGAATGATAAAATACTGGTTGGTGTTAAACTAGATGAAGTGAAGATTTTCTTTTGAGGAGGATCGATTGGCGGTTAAACAGATAGGGAAAGTTTACAAGTAGTTCTTAGTATTTAGCGGTACAACTAATGGGTAAGACGGGATAAGATTCACCCTCCGCGACAAGATGACTTGCAGTTTTGCTTAGTTCAGACATTGAACTAGCAATCTTCCATAACAGATCCTCAAAAAAGTGGTAAAAAATATATTTTAAAAGTCAAAAAGTCATTTTGCCCCGCAGTCAACCTTAACCCATTTTACACTACTTATAATCTAATGATACCTTTATGTAGCGAGGATTTAGGATAACAGGAGAGAAATATCAAAGTAAGTTTCTTTGGCAGCCTATACGCTGTTTCAAAGCTACCCAAAATTGGGTAGAATCCTCCCAGTTCGGTCTAAACTGAACCTACACACGAGGGGCAATTCACTGCTCTCGAGACGGAATCGAAAATACGTGAATAAAACATACACAAAAATTCATCATTACTCGTCATTGCTCAAACAAATGCAAACAAATACAAAATTCGGAAAAAATACACAAATCTTCGACGAATAATAAAAATACACGATAATTCGTCATTTGCACGAATAATTCTAAAATATGTACAATAAAAATGCTGAATTCCAACAAAATGCGTAAATTTATTATTTTGTATTTTAATCCGAGCTCGATCACATTACAATGCATTAATGTGTAGAGTTTTAAGAAAAGTGCCTTAAATCAATCATTATATAAAAAAACATTAATGAGTAGTTGTGACCCACAAATAAGTAACGATTATTTATTAATACGTAACAGAATTGGTAACAGATGCTTATTAATGCGTAAGGAATCCCAAAAAAACAAACTGTCTACGTAGTTAATGAACAGCCCTTAATGAGTTAATGAGTTAAGCCTCTATTCTTAAAAATGGGTGAAATTTCACTCAACCGTGGGTATTTTGAAGTTAGCGTGTGTTGTGCATTTGTCAAACAAAACGTCGACATTGTGAGTTTGATCCGTTTGATCCTCTGTTCGAGTGGTAAACATAAACACTGAAATGACAGAATACACTTATAACTGATTTTCAATACATTAATGCATAAAAATACATTTTTATTTTTCTAATACACATAAAATTACATTTATTCAAAAAGTGCAAAATAATACATTGTTACACAAAATACAAGTTCATTCGATAAAAAAATACTTAAATATGTTCATCAATACGTTGGCCTGAATCGAAAATACACAAATGAATCGCCCCTCGCCTACACACTTAATTTTGTTTGCCAACTCTCGGTCGATTTGAACAGCCGAGCTTCCGGCTAACATAATTTGTGGAGATCTCAGTAAAAGTGACGTTTGGTTGCTGAGTCTCGGAATATTTTTTTATTATTCTCAGCAAACAAACTTAATGTTTGCTGAGATCTCAATAAAATTTATTGCCGAGCACTTGGCTGTGCAAATCTCGGCAAATAATTGTCGAGCTGGCGAAAACAAAACTAAGTGTGTACCAAAAAAAAATGGGTTAAATATGTTAGGAGTTACAAGTTGACAAGAGGGTAACATCTCCATGAATCCGATCGATGATTTATTTTTCAACTTGTCACTCCTAACTTAGTTTACCAATTTTTGTGTGAGTTCATTTTTGACCAATCTGGATGAATTCTACCCAAATTTGGGAAGTTTTGAAACAGCCTGTACCTTAAGGCGGTTTCCAAAAGAGAGGATCTTGTATAAAAGGGGATTGGATTTAAAACAAACTGTCTTGGCAACCTAAGCCTAGATTATTTCTGGCAACACTGCCAACGCAATCTAAATAGGCGCTGCTCAATTGGCTCTGGCGTTGACAGTTCGTTTGGCTCCTCTCTTATACTAGACGCTCTCTAGTTTCCAGCAATGTATCAGTGAACAAAATAAGATAGGCATTGCGCGATTAACACGGTCTTTGACAAATGTTTTAGTTCAAACCCATCTAAACTCTCATTTTTTCTATACACCTCCTTGAGTTTAATATTATTTTATTAAATACAGAAGGACTAATAAAAGCATTTATTTGCTTTAATATTTAGAAAGTTGTTATTTGATTGTTCAATTTCTTGAAGGGTCCAAGTTTTGATATTTTTCATTATATTTTCTTAACAAAACATGTTACTTTTGGTGCACGGTATTAAATACAGGTCGTTTACAATCGATTATAATAGATAACTCTTTTCTGATAAAAAAAAAATCCATTTGGGACTCTCAGAGTTGGTTGGAAATGCTATCTAACATGAAGCTTTAGTGTGATAATGTATTAGCTAGAGAGAAATGTTTGAAGATAGTAGCACTGATCTGAGTCAGAGTCTGTGATAGTAGGTAGCTAGTTCCGCTAGAGTATGGCAGTATGAATTTTTTTTATATATTTATTAAGGAGACTTTCAGCCCTGGGCTGGGTCGTCTTCGAGAATGAAAATTGAATAGAAGTTGAAAATGAGCGAAGGGCCATTACTGCGACAGTAATAGTCAAACGCACACTTTTTTACCTAACTCATACATACTGAGTATTTGTATGAGCTAGGTAAATAAGCGAGCAATCGGCCCCCGTTTTACTAACGTTAGTTTTAAGTCATTTTGTTATCTAAACAATGAATATCAGCTCCGCAAAGCTATAGCAAATGAGCCTGGAAAAATTAACGCATTAAAAAAAAGGTAAATAAGTGTATGTTTGACTAGTACTGTCGCATTAATGGCCCTTCGCTCATTTTCAACTTCCATTCAATTTTCATACTGCCAAAATATTTGTAATATCACATCAAAGTGGATGCACTTCAATCGTGTCGAAAATACGGTTTTACTCCTTTTTTACTCCTTAAAAAAGGACAACATTACTCCTTCAAAAAGGACAACACTATCATTAATACAGTGCATGAACTGACATTACGCTGAATTTTTTTTATTTTTTCTTGCGATAAAAATTACATGAGGCTTTTGACATGATTGAAGTGCATCCTCTTGGATGTAATATTAAAATTTATTTTTTACTGTGTAGATAGCATTTCCAACCAACTCTGTAAATCGTAAACTTCACGTATGAAGTAATATAAAAACATTTTGCGTATGGGACTGTTATGATTTGATGGGCAGCATAGTGTCGTAATTTCTAGCCAGTTCAGAATTTGCAATGTCAATAGAAAACCACGTTTCTATGAATACGACATCGTCAACAGGATGGAAACTACCTGTTAAATCTGAAAAACCGGGAAGTAAGGGATTTTGTTCAGCAAACATATTTTGCGAAATGCACGAAACGAAATTTCACAAAAAATGCAACGAAAAAGCAAAAGTTAACTTTGATGGTGGAATTCTGCGAAATCGAACGAAATCTTTGTAATATTCTACGGATTTTTGACGTAGGACTACGTCTGTGGTTTATTTATGGGGGTACACATTGTGAAAACAAAAAATGGAACATGTAACGAAATTATGAAAGATTTTGAACGTTAATAAGTCAGCTGCCCCTGGACCAATTTCAATATTTTTGTCAACAATCGATCAGAAATAATTCTACGCATCGTATCCACCAATTACGTACATGCATATGTTGCGTCCCCAACACAATCATCAGAGAATCGTTTCTAGGCGAAACATGTCGATGTAGCAGTGCTCAACACTGTCATCAGAAAATCGCTAGTAGACGAAACAAGTCGAAGTGGCATTCGCCTCCGATCTTCGGGTGCGTGCGAATAAGGAGGATGCAATTGCGTAACATTTTGCACACTCATCGCCATATTCAGAACCACACGCCCCCAACGATCACACAAAATGCTCTCCACAGTTGTAATCTTGTAACCAACTTGGAAGCAGGGGTGCAAGTGATTTTGATCGATTCTCTTCATCGACTTTCTGATTCGTTAATAACTCGACGGCAAACACATTCATTGATACGTTTGTTGTTCTGGATGATAGAAGAGCATAGCAGAAATAGTGCGAAATAGGTTAGTGAAGCCATGGTCATCAAAAGAGGAAATCGATGAAGAGAATTGACTTTCACCCCTCTGCTTCTAAGCCCCTTAATTCAGTCGTAGTCATAGCAATGAGAACTAGCATCGCACCGCTTTTGGTTCTTGGGTTACACTTGCTGGTTGCAATTCTGCTGCTCAACATTTTCTTAGGATCACCAAAAAACATGAAATTACACAGTTCAGCTTCGAACCTGTTCGGATACGGTTGTGTATAAGTTTAGTTCTGTTTTGTGCGTGCGTTCGCTGATTTTGCCAGATTAGCGCTGGCACTCTGCCTCCCGGACGGTTATACGTGTGTGATTGGTGGTTTTCTCGCTCTGAGAAGTTTTGGAATCGAAAAAGAAAACGTGATGCATCATGTTTGCAGGCATCAGAAGAAATGTCGCTATCTACGTTGTTTGTTTTTTTCTTCGCTTGTGCTCCCGGTACAGAAATTTGTGGCGTCGCGTGTGATAGTTTTTGATTTCAGTTTGTTTACGCGTTGTATGATTTTGTGAGCGGTCGCTTCGTGTTCGCGTCATGGAGCAATCGACTACATTCGACCAGAGGATTGATCCCCGTAGGGCGGGTCTATGATCGGAGCTACTACACCAAGCGTGACATAGCTGCTTGCAAGGGATTCAGTTGGACTGATTTGGTGAGATTGTTCAATTTTTCTACTTTTGTCTATTTAAACTTAATTTCTATGAATGCGTATCGTTTGGAATCATTTGATTCGGATGAGACTCTTAACTTTTATTTGTTTACATTGTGTTTCAATTGGTATTCTTAAGAACTTCACAAAATAAGGTTTCAATATTTAAATTGAGCAGCTCGACTAGCCTGGTGGCTGCCACTTTTGCTTACTGAGTAGAAGACCGTCGGGGATCCACATTGTAAAGATTCCCTATTTTCAGCTTTTTTACAGGCTGGAGTTGTTGTTTGAACCATTTAGTTTATCAATTTAATTTATCTGTATAACAATTATTCACAAGCATCTTCCGAATTCAAGAATAGTTTGATGATGATAAATCTTCCTAATATTCACATTACAGTTATGACCCGATCCTGTCAATCTCTCCGCGCATCAGACTGTTATTTTTCAATAATTCCACATAATTGTAATTTCATACCTTCCTCCTTCAAGATGAATGTTTAAGATACACATACTTTGCTAGCTGACAAAATGGGGTCATTGCTGTATAATTATTCTCTTTTTGCAGCCTTCATTCAGACTGGATCTATTGATTTAAATTATTTGAGTTTTCTTCCAGCTCTTTGATGACGGAACATCATTAGATTTATACTGTAATGATTCACTCTTACAGCTTTCACCCTGGTTTTGTCTGTTGATTTGATTTGTTTGAATTGGTTTTCAGCTAGCTTTGGTGTTGGCAGTCGCGGGCGATCAATGTTGCTCATGCTCATGCTCTAAGTTCATTTTCAGCATTTCGATGATGGAACATCTTCAGATTTATATTATAATGGGGCTTATTACGGATGTCACATCACGGTGAAAAGTTGTCACTTGTCGTCACGGTGAAGTGATTCCCATTTGATTTGTAAGGTAATCACGGCTCTTATTCTGAGTATCACTTTCTTATCACCGTGTAGTGACA